TTTTTCGCGATTTTTCCACACTTGCGGGTGGAATTTCCCGAAACCCCGTCTTAACGTGCACCTACATCACATAAGATAGCTACAGTGAATATTTCAGATTCCTAGCTCTTACCATTTGAGCTGTGCGTTGATCATCAGTCAGTCAGTCAGTCAGTCATTCAGGACAAAAAGTTTTATATATAGAGATATACATATATACATATATACAGTAGTTTTATAGTAGCACAACTGAATGCGCAACTAAATAAAAAACAATTTCAAACTGAAATGTTGAAACAACGAAATGGTTTTTTACTTTGCTTTATGTGTAGAAAGAATTGAGAATTTCTGTGCCCCATTGGGGGCCGTCTGGTATGGCTCCGGTTAAGTCGAGGCCAGTGCGTGCCCTGTTGTTTGCTTAGTGCGAATAAAAAAAGTAAACAGACACACACAAACACACATATTTATAGACTGGCGTAACGTAATCAAGGGCTATCGCATGGCGTACTGGAGAGTACGTATGCAATCTGGTCAAAGGGGCGTGCCATGCCGCCTGCTGCTGCTGGCCGGAGGCCTTTGCCTGGTCAGTGGCCGTTGGCATGTTGGGCTCATTCAACTGGTGAGTGCAATTGTCGGTTATTGGCGCCCGAGTGCACACACGAACGCGCCTCGGACGGGCAACTGAAGGCCGGAGCGACTGACACATTGCCAGCCGGGACAGGTTGTGCGGCAAAGGCACGTAAGCCAACACTTGCAGTTGTTGCACGTTGCTTCATTAAGTTGACGTGTGCCAGCCTGAAAAAATGTCTACGACAGTAGACTCGACCAACTGGGCGTGGCGGGCAGCTGAATGGACCAGGAAGCGAACGTTTTATCAAGCCAACTGGCAATGGTAGGCAATGTTCATATCTTAATTACTCAATGTTTGACTCAATGAACAACCAGTCAGGCAGCGGTGAGTCAGTTGCAGTTGACTATTATGCCCCCCATAGGATAATCACTGTAAACTGTGGCCATTTATGCATATGAATTTATTCAAATCAGGACATGGGCAGGGCAGCATAGTCAGCCCAGAGTCGACCCCCAACCAGCAGGCATTTTGTTTTGGCGCTGACGACGCTAAACTATTTTGCATTTAGAGCAGCCAGCGCTGAGCTCGAAGCCGTAGCTCTGGCCAAAGCCAAAGCCACAGGCACAGGCACTGTCCCTGGCACAGTCGATGCCAGAAGCCTCGTCCTGCGCCCAAATACGTGCCAGTTACATGCATTCGAGGCTATATGCGTGCGTGTGTGTGTGTGTGTCGGTGTGTGGGCAGCTTTGTTCACATGTTTTCACTTGCTGCTTAATTTGCATTTAAATGGTTTTTGCACTTAGGCTATTTCCCGTGTAAATGAGCTTTGTTTGCTGCTGCTGTTGTTGTTGTTGCAATTTCCTTGCCCAACTTAACAAGGCAACGCCAGCGGCCGAGCTCTTGTTTTATGTAGGCTCAACTTGCATTTCACCAAGGACACGTGCCCAAGCGCGGGTCCTGCGAGCGAACATTTTGTGGCTGCACATTCAATGTATTGCGAAGCGGACTCCATGTCAGAGTCGTGGGGGCAAATTCCTGGAAGAAATTTAGTCAATGACCTGATTGTGCCGGAGAGTGTAATATCCAGTTATTTAAGGCCTGCTGTTCCATTAGTTTGTGTCTTGCAACTTGGCCAGATATGAAGATAATGCGTTCAACGTGTGTAAGCCCTTGTATTACCTGCCATCTTATAAGTATTTCTACAATGTAAAACATCTGCCAATTTTAACTGCAATTCAACTCATTTTAACAAAATTGGATTTGTTTCAAATATGAGCAATACTTGGACTGACTGTAAAAATTATATTATAATTAACGACTGAAAAACTGAAAAAATCAGAAACACTTTTACATCATGATGAAATCAATAAACTTAAGGTAAAGTATATTTACATTTGTATGCACAATATATTAAGAATTAAATTTATTAATTACTAAATCATTTAAAATTGTTTGTTAGATAAATATTCATTTTAGCGAATGATTGCGAATCTATATCAAAGTTTGCAAGTTGAAACGGACACAACAAAATAACGAAAACTCGTGATCTGCTAAAAAGTAATTGCCAAATGGCAAATGGCAAATTTGTATTTGATGCGAAAAACACAATAGAAATTTAAGCGCATATCGGAAGCTGTTTACATTTTGTCTGGCATAAACAAATACGCAACAAAATAAATATTTATCAATGCATACCAGAGCTGTTTATATTTTCTATTTTCGGTCGTTCGCATAAAATGAACGCATGCGGAAAAATAACAGGAAAATGGTTGTTTGTTGAATTTCGACATGAGCCAGTGTCCTGTTCCTTATGGCTGACTGGGATTTAATGCGGCTGACATTTATCATACGCCAAGTTGGCAATGGGTTTATTGATTGCCTGCATGGCTGCATGACAGTTGCGGGCGGCGGGCGGCGGGCGGCTGCACATTCAGCCAATTAACTGTGCTACCTACCAGCCACGCCTTTTATGACTTAATAGCTGAGCTGACTTGGATAAAATAAGTATGTCAACCAGCAAACACCAGCCGAGCGGAGAGAGAGAGAGAGAGACAGAGACCATGTTCCCATTTAGCGCACTGTCAACTTTTGTTGTGGTCACTAATGATGACAGCCGCCCAGCCAAAACATCAACACACACACACACACACACACGCACACAGGCACACACATACACCCACACGGTGTCCCTCTTAACATTGTGTGTGTATCTGTGCGGGTGTCTGTCTGCTTTTGTGGCCACTGCCAACTGCCGACTGATGCACAAGCTGTCCCTGGCTTTCACATGACACAATTGTGTAGCCGGACACACACCCTCACCCTCATCCCGCCCCTCCCCTCCCCGCCCCGCCCCGCCCTGTGTCTATCCTGACCGCAACTCCTGGCCGGTGCCATATCGTGGTCAGACTTTTGTTGGAAAAGCGCGGCGCGTGGAGCGTCAAAAACAAGCTGATTTGATTGTTTGTAATTAAAAGTGGACGCAGCGAAAATTAAATGAGTATCTACAGCATATACGGAGACCAGCACCACGTTCCCTCCAACGAACCGCTGTGTGTAAGTGTGTGTGTGTGTGTGTGTTTTTAGCTGGCCGCGATGCGCATAAAACTTTATGGCCACGTGCCCGGTTCCTGTTCTTAATTTAAAAGTAGAAATCTAATAAAAATAAAAGCGTAATGCTGGCAAAGACTACGCTACGTGCCAGTACCTCGTCGGCAATGTACAGGTACTATATACAAGGGCGTGTGGGCAAATTAAGCCCCGAATGTCTTACGAAAGTTTTCAGGACAGTGTATTTGCGTTGTGCGTAACGACTAATTGATACGCCACAGTGTCAAAGCCGGCGCCGTGGGTGGGCCTAAAGGGACTTAAGACACTTAAAGCCAAGTCCCAAATTGAACCAAAAAGATAGACGCCTGTCAACATATGTATTAGCGGCTATGAGTAATTTACTGCGGTGGGAAGAGGTGACAGAAAGAGAGAAAGCGAAAGGGTGTGAGAGAAACAAGAATTGTGTCTGTGTTTTGGTCGCAGTCAGAGGGAATACAATAATATCCTGCAAGAGGTAATATTGTATTGAAGTATATAGGTGTACAGTTTTTACTTGTTACCTAAATAATTTATGTACTCCATTCATTAACAAATTTGAACTTAAGTGTCCAGATATACATGCCTTGTACGGGTTGCTAGTGAAAAGAACTGTACACAAACATATGTTGTTAAACTTTAGCAGGTGTCCCAACACAATAATAATTACACGTTTACCCCAACAACCCGTACTCATCAATACCAAACCTTTGACATGTATTCCAAGTGCCTTGCATGTTCAGCTCGCACCTACTTTTAAATATTTAAGCATTGCCTTAACACTTCTGCCTACTTATTTAAAATGAACTTAGCAGCTGTCTGCAGATTTAGGTCTGCCTATTCCTTTCACTATTAAATATTTTAAAAACTAAAATAAGCTTTAGAACATATCTTTAAGTCCCGATAAGCGAATGCAAGAAATTTAAGAACACTTTACTTTAAATTAAACTTGAAATCGAGGAGATACGAGTACATTTTATTTAATATTACTAAATTTGTTTTTTTGACTAAAAATTTAAATTTGTAAATATCTGATTGAAACGAAATATTCACAGTGAACTCAACCGCACGCTTTACTCCTCAATGTCTGCGGGTGGCAGCCAACAAGCTGAGGTAAGCCGCAGTCACAGCTGCAATAAATGACATGTTGCAACATTGCAACCATAATTATCTCGACTATTGAAAAATAATAGGGACAAAGGAAATTGCAAACATTTCGAACGCATTTGCGCAAATATTAATCCCAAGCAACTGCAAATCGAGCTAGTGGAATATGCGTATTATTGCCTGTTGCATAGATTAATTAATACTTGAGACGATTTCACATCTTTCGAGTTTAATAATTGAGCCGATGGGCGACTTAATTGGACATTTGCTGTTGAATAAACAGCTTGTCTGGGCAAATGATATTATTCTTGGCAGAGCTTTGGCAGCTCGAAAAGTAATCAAAACGATGTGGCATTTGGGTTAGTGTCTGCCACATTTAATGCATTTAAAACGGCCACTTTGGCTGCACGTGCAGCGGTGGGGTGGCAGGCAAATGGCCAAGGCAGATTCAACAGCCTGTTGCTTCCGTTTTCGCCGTGTGCCGGTTCCAGTGAGGACTAGGGCAAAGCCTGTTGCGGTAGCGCAACAACTGCCCGCCCGGATAAAAGAGCGCAAAAGCTTTGCCTCTCGCTCTCTCTCTCTCCCGTTCGCTCTGGGCATCTGGAAAGCTTTTGCTCTCGGCAGGGATTCGTGCGGCCAGCACTTGGATGGAAGCGCTACTCCCACGTAGCGCTCGTGCGTGCCTGCCGTCGATATTCCAGCCTCGTCGCGTCTCGGCTCTGGCATTTCAGTCTAGGATAAACGCTTGCGACAGCCACAACAAGTGCGCGCGTGCGAACAGCCAAATTTCGAGCCCTTTACAAGCCAATCCAACTGAGCAGAGCGGCCGCACTGCAAGCGTGTAGTGTAGTGTAGTGTGCTGTGCTGTGCTGTGCTGTTAGCCCGAAAGCGAAAGTGCAAACCAAGACACACCGGCAACAATGTGTGCGTGTGTGTGAGTGTGAGTGTGTGTGTGTGCTGAAGTTTTTTGTAAGGAGTTTGCGTACACGGTAATTAAAGCGCGGCATAGCTCCACACGAATCCTTTGGCCGCTTTCGATCGAAGGAGCTGCGCGCGTTACTCATGCGGCACTGCGAAAATGTAACTCCTCCCCGACCCCATATATTTGGATCAAGGCAATCAAATAAAATTAGTTTTCTGTGCTATTTAGTGGCATTTTGTGTAGTGTTTTAAATTGGTGCCAAAGCAAATCCGCGATATAAATGTGAAGCAAGCAAACGCCACCGATTTGTCCAATTCAATTCAATTACCTTACCCAAACATAAATTGTGTGAAGATAATCACGGATAGAGAAAAACCAAACCAAACCATTTTGAAATTTTATTAGTTTTTGGCAACGAGCAGAGCAATTACATCTTGATAATAGTTCTGTAAATTGCAAAAAAAAAAACCGAAACCTCAAAACCACCAACAAGAATTTTTAGCAACAGCAACTGGCACCACAACAACATCGGAAATATGTATAACTTTTGGATAATCGTTTTATGTCTAGGATTACTAGCAACTAAGTCAATAAGTAAGTCAAAGAGTATTTTCAATCAAATCTGAAATCGAAATATTTGTGAGAATTTTTCCATTTCGTTGTCGACATCGGATTGTGCGTTCATCTTTAATTGACAATTACGATACATCAATTTTTGGAATTTTTGTGTGACATGAGTCAAGAGATTTATGGGGAATAAAGTCAATTGCAGTTTTAAATCGAGTTCAGCTCAAATCGAGCGAGGCTTATGCTATTTTTTATTTCATTTTAATTGAGTAAGAACTTTGAAGTACAGCTGAAAGTGCATTGAGTAGATTTACAATGCAAAAGCCGATTTAGTTTCAGTTTGTTTAAAATTGCATCGTGCTATTAATTGATTCTGTTGAGCGTTCTTCTGTTTACAGAACAAAAGAGGAAGACTTAATTCAACTTTACCTTCTACAGAATTAATAAGACAATTTTCAACTTTGCAGTCGGCTGCAGCCGACTGTGCTATACTCTATACTCTAACCACATTGAAATTGGCGATATGTAACTCATGCAAACAAACATTCAGCTGCAATTGGCTTGCGTTTAGTTACTTATTGGGCATAACCGACTAGGATATACCCTGAGCACAGCTACAAGCTGCCGTTTCGAACATTCTAGCTTGCTAGATTCCCACACTATCGGAAAGTCTTTCTGAAATAGCTTCAGTGTATATAGTCAGGCCTTATAAAATTTTCGGGGCTGAAATATGACACTCAAAAAAAGTCTATTACTATATATAAAGTCTTATACTATAAATTAGTTTTTTAAAATTTTGGAGGAATGGGGTGAGGTGCTTAAAAACTGAAATATATAAAATCTTTATATACTCCACGAGAACCTACATAACATTTTCTAGATATGCTAATATCAATATATGTCGGAAAAGATATCGATAAAAAAAAAAACTGCTTGGAATATAGAAAGAAATTATTTTCCCAATGGAATATGTACACATTTCTATAATATTATTACAGTTTAAGATCTTGGACTTATATTGACTTTGATCCAAGAAGGTTTGACTTTTGTGCAGAGATATAATATGAAGGATGTCTATGAATTTCCCTGTTCCCTGAATTTCCCTTTACCTAGTGTTAAGGGTGTAACCCACTTTCTGACATAGTTTCTGCCTTCTAATCCCTGGACAATTCTCTAGAGTGTGGTCTGAAGTCACAAACTTTTAGGTTAAGTTGGTGCGTGAGCATTTTGCTATGCTCTCTTAGAGAGTTGGTTTGTTTTTTATTATGCCTGCCTAAAAATCCTTGGCAATGTTTTACATCCTTTTACAATTGTCACAGTTTGTGCAGGAATGCTTTGTTTCACAGTTGCCTTGCTTTCCGACTAGTTCATTGACTGTAGCATATTAATCAATAGTAAGTGATGTTATGGTCTTGACTAGTACAGTGAAAACACTCCCAACGGACGCTTCTATTAGGCAGACTCCCCCCTTTTGGACTGACATTTCCTCTTAAACTATCATAAAATAGAATACACCTGTCCCGCCTCAAAGGAGGACACTCTTGAGCCGATAAAAATTACGTGACAGTTGCCGTCCGTCCAAGTCAGTTTGCACAGTATATGTGTGGTATTCTTAACAATAAGAGACATACACTGAACGTTTCATTTCGTGCAACTCTACTGACCAACTGTCAAGCTATACAATTTCTAAATAAACCAAACAAAAAGCAGTTGCTTAGGTGCTTTATAAAAAAGGCAGTGTATAAATATGCTTATACGTAACCATGACGGCCAGCTAGTTATTTCTTTGTAAGCTAAGGTAAGCCATTAAGTTCAAGGTTTGTGGTGGAAGATGGCTTATTTTTGGTTGCATATTTATGCAATTGCTTAATGCGTAATCCGCATTAAGCTACTGCAGCCAAGAACAATTTGAATATCAAATGCCGATTTCAGGCTTGAGGCCCACAACGAGCCTTGGGTTAAGTTTTTGGCTGCCTGCCTCAACCTTAGTCAACAATTTATTTATAATATTTTGCATTTAAGCTGAATTATGCATATGCAAAGGAGGCGCCAGCAAAGCCCCCCCCCCCCCCCCTGGCTAATTGCAAATGGCGCGCAGGCATGCAACCCGCCCAAATACCTCCCCCTCCCCGCAGACTTTCACACCCGTTGCCTATGCACACTGGGGCCGAGACGTGCTGATTTTCTTGAATGCGACCGACCTTGCCCAATGGAATGTCACGCAGTTGGTCAGTGCCCGGCTCGATACCTGCCCGCACAGCTGCTTCCTGCTTCCCGCTGGCTGCTGCTGTCGATGCTCCTCCGGCTGCTGCTGCTGTGTTTTTTCATAAGCCTCATGAATAATTCAGAGGGCACGCTTCGATTATTTACTTCATAAACATTCTGCTACAGTCATGCCTGTCTGTGTTTGCACATGTATGTGCATACATATATATTTAGAATGCGTTAGTATGCATCTTGGCATTTTATGACGCGCGTACAAGTTTTTAATTTTAATAAATTGTTTTGGCCGGCCAAATATTTGCGCTTGCAACAGGCAAAGCACTTTCCTGATAACTCAAAATGCCTTTAGTTGTTTATTAAGCTGTTGGCAAAGTCGCTGATTGCAATCTGCATGACAAATTAATTGGGCGCATGTACTATATAAATAATTTGATTTGATTACTGAGCCAATGAGCAGCTCGGCTTTGCACGTTAATTACGACAGCCGAAAAGTATGCCACAGAATTAAATTTAATTACAGCTTCATTTTGGGGGGGGCGAAAGTTAATCAAAAACTCAATGAGCAGCTCGTAAAGACAACAACCTGCCGCGCCTCAACCTTGCGCCTCGTATCTATTACACGTTGTCGGGGCAACGTAATCGCTGAAAAATTAATACGCCAAGGAGCAGCAGGCAGCAAGGAGCAGCCAGGACGATGAAGCAACAAGGATCGGTGTGTGTCGTAAAGCACGTTTGGGCCATATTAAACCGCCAATGGCTCAGATACGAGGCAGCATCGTATAAAATGTGCCGTTGCCACAGTAAAATCAATTTCAAGTCGTTAAACGAAATGAACCTTATGGAGAGTTTCCTTTCTGTGGCTGCTTTCTTGCGGAAGTGAAAGTTACACCCACCCACACACACACATCTACACACACACACAAACAGAGCATTAGCAGTTGTGATCGCTGGCTTTGAAAATTTAAAACACGTCGCCATCGATGGGAAGTGTAATCGAAACGCGGGCTCGGCGGACTGATGCGATTATTATTGATTTTTACTTGAACTAAAATTGGTTGGATTGAATTATTCATATGGGCGGGCCGGATAATGGCAAGTGGCAAGTGGCAAGTGGTAAGAGCCTAATTGTATTGTACGAGCGCCACATTGAGAACTCTCAACTATTTATTTAGTTGAACCACCGAGAAAAGGTCGCACGTGACGTGGCTGGCAATGATGGTAACGATTATCATCATCATTGTCTTAATGCTGATTACTGTTTGCTTAGCTCTTAATGTCAAATTCAATTCAGAAATTTAAACAAAATATAAATCAATTTGGCTGCATAAACAGAGTGCATTTATATAATTTACATCCAAGCAAATATTGTGTCAAACGTGGCGGCGACAGTAGCGATGGCTTCAGGCCAACGCTGGCCTTCACTGCGTATACTTAATGTGCGCACATGTCCATATAAATGTAAGAGTTATGAGAGCCAACAGCAGCAGCAGCAGCAGTAGACGCCAGATATACAATGACAACAAGACAAGGCAAGTGTGTGTGCTCTGTGCAACCTCAATGGCAGGTCTAGCCACAGGCAAACTCAAGTTGTGAACACACACACACACACAAGCACACACACACACGTTCACACCAAGAGCATATACATATAGAGGAGGACAGGCGGGGCTGGGCGACGATTTCGCCTGCAGCTGTCTGACAGTCAGAGCTGCCTTGCTGCCTTGCTGTCTGCCTGCCAAGCTGCCCCGCATTTGACGACTTTGACATTCCAGAAGGAGTCGCCGTCGCCCCTTGCTGTGATTTTGACTTGTGCAAAGACGTTTTTGGCATATCTAATGAAACTTATTGGCCGACAGCCACTTGAATAGACTAACTCGCGACTTTAAAAACTCGTCGCAGCCCAATACATAAATAAATTACGAAATTGTCTATAAATTTTTGCCGAAATATGAACGTCGTGGGCAAAGTTTTGCCCGGCTTACAGTATCGAAGTTAAGTTGAGCGGCTGAAATCAGATTAAAGTGAACATTGGCACACATGGCATCCGGCCTGCTGCGGCCCTAATGTACGGCAATACAATTTGGCTAGGCGGCCTGCAGGTAGCAAGCATTTGGCAAATGACTGGGAACAATTTTGCACAATTTGGCGCAAAGACAATCAAAAAGTTATAAAACAAGCTACGGCAAAACGAAAACAATGGAGAACTGCGGCCAGGAATTCCGTAAAGCCCCAAATGCCAAATCACCAGCCCCTGCCAGAGCCTAAATGATGCTGAGCGGGAATACTGTCTTGTACGGAGCGTTCTGGCGTGTGTGTATCGAGCTGTAAAAACTTTGCGGCAACTTTCTGTTTTTCCTTTTTTTCCTTTATTTTTGAACGTGTTACTTGTTGGCATTCGCTTGTTGTACCTGTGCTGGCATTGCGCATACGCCACGTGGTGTTATTATCAGCCGCATCAGCGGCGCCGTAAAGTAAATGCAAAGTGTGCAAAGTCTATAAACGAGCGTCAAACTTAAAAGCCCCAGGGTGGCGGCGACTTGGCAAGGACGTTTAGAGGCTCGGCATTTGCAAGCTACAAGAGGAGAGAGGGGCCAGACACACAAGTTTATCGGCAGGCAAAGCACAGAGACAACTGAGCCTATCAAAAAGTTGCTCATACGACAAATTGTCACCGCGTTGGCAGCAACAACAGCAGCGACGGCAACAGCGAACATGGAAAACGAATTTTATATTTCAGCTTTAGCTATTATTTATATTATTTATGATGTTTTGGGCAATGTCGTTAAACTGCGGCCATTAAAAAG